CAAGACATTATACACGTTTCGGAGATGGACAAAATTCATATCCGAACGACTTTATATCTAAATAAAAATTAAAACTTGATTACAAAATCCAATAGAAATTACTACGTAAAGCAACTACGTTGCTTTCATAAGGACTGTTTAAATCAAATTTTGTCCATCTCGCAGTCCTTCCAATTTTGAAGATCGGAGAGGCGTGCGTCGGCTGTCGAGCCGCGAACAACCATATCTAAGAATTTACTAAACGGTATATTGATTACGAATAGCGAGTAACGTTGCGCGGGGGTATTATATACATGCCCCCGGTTATCATTTTTGTAAATAATTGGTGTGGCATTAAGGTATCCGTCTTTATTTAACGATGCAAAGGAATCGCCGGTAGACGAGGACGACTGTTTTACTTGTACATATGAAGAGATAATCGAACGAGGGGATGCAGGGAATGAGGGAAGGGGTGGGGGCGTTTATCCCGTCGATGAAATGCGCTCAAATAACGTTGTTCGAGGCCATTATCGCGTTCGCCATTGATTTCAGTCGCGTCGCAATTGCACGCTCGATGGCGGTATAATAGATTCGCGGGAGGTTTAATGGCGCGGTGGAGATCCGTATCGTGTCGTCGTCATCAGGGATAATTCGCGCGACACGAGCAATCTTGAAACGCTTTAACGGCGCACGCAAACATAGAGACACCTCTGTAATGTACAAATGTCACCGATATATCAAGATAGCCTAACCCGTAATGTCCCCCACTGCTTGAACTTAAACGCCGTTCTATTACGTGTACGCTTTCCATTCGATTCGTAAGGTTGACGCTTTCATGGATCGCATTTCCCGTGGGGATTATTCGAATACATTAAGCACATTAACCAACGGGTTGATTAGATAATGTTTGCAACTTGAACGAGGAATAATCTGGTTTCATAGCGGTGTAAATTCATTTTTCTAAATATTACAGGATTCGTGTTAATTGACTCAAAAATATTACCAATCACTGGCAGACTCACTTTATGCTTTTTGTGGCGATGGATATTTAACACTAAAACTTTCAAGGCAGTCGATTTGAATCGCGTACTTCAAACTTATTCTGAAAATCGTCCAATTATTGACAATGTTTTAGTAAAACTTGTAGAAACTATCGTAATAGAGAATTAATTTGATCGATGAATCAGTTTGCTCCCCATCTCTTTAATTACAAAGATAGTTAATAGTTATAAGTATTTTTAGGTACACCTAGCGTAATAGAGAATTAATTTTATTTACAAATTAGTTTGCCCCCTATTCTTCTAATTACAAAGATATAGTTATTTATACAATAGACTCGCGAAGACATCGGTTGTTTTAGTGTTAAACTTTTGAGGTATATCGAAATCATGGGGATAAAAATCAGTAAACATAGTATTTCTTTAATTAAATAAGTTCACACAGTGATTTCGCTGTTGTTTGCATAAATTCGATGATTGCTAGATTAATAAATAAATAATAATGATACAAGCGCCGAGAGTCCGTTTCACGATACCTCCCACGAATTTAGAACGCATTTCGTCGGGGAGGATTGCAAGAAAAACGAAATTTCGATCGATTACTTTAAAGAGAAACGTTTTTTATAATCAAGGTAAGCGGGTGTGTGTGAGTGAGCGAGGATGATTCACAGAAAAATCATTATAATGGTATGTCCGTAAGTAAATTATAAAATAAAAGGAACTCATACACAGTTTGTAGCGACTCGAGTCACCGATTTATTAAGGAAGTAGAAGAAATAAAGAAATTAAAAGTACTTTCCTCGTGTTTATTGTTCCAACGATCCCCTTTCCTTCAACTTATGTTATTATTTGAAAACTGGAAAGCTTTGTTATACTATTAAAGCGAATTTCAGGTAACGCTACTTTTTTCAATATTTTCTGATACTTTAATTCATTTTGAATCGATTAAAAAGTAATTTGTATTCCACTGCCAGCAGTGTACTACTCTTCCGAAGGTATCTGAAGGGACCCGTAACCTTTTGGAAATGTTCCAGATCACTTCGCGCGGGGTTGAAGGTTACGGAACGACAGTTAGGATAAGCTCAACCATCCGATTTCTACTGAGAAACGATTAAAAGAGCAACCGATGCAACGCACAAAAAATTATCTTAATTCTACGGATAAGAATGAAATTGAAATACTCCGTAGAATAGTCGATTTTAGAGGCTCTAGGCAAATTCCTATGTCGCTTAGAATAACAAATGCGCCGCTGAAAGGAGTGCGATACGTTTCTTCAAGAAAAACGGCAGGTTGCGTAACAAGAAAAGTTCCGATTTATTTGTTCGTAACGTATATTAAAACAGATGTATAATATAATATCGACAGAGCCAATAAAATCTACGATCGCGGTGTTCCTTTTCATTTTTTGTTTGTTTGGTTGTTTTATACGTGTATATATATATGTATATATATATACTCTCTTTACATTTAACTATATTTTTATTACAGATATACCTCACAAAAATACAATTCTTTTTTTATTTTGTTTGTTTCTGTTTTATAACATTCCTTATTCTTTACGGGAACAGTGTGAGTAATAAAAATATCATTCCACGAACGTGAACGCGTCCCTTCTTTTATTGTTTGTTTTATTTTCCTATTCCCTCGTCTGGAAACATATATATTTACATATATGTATACCTCTGCCATCACATGTTGCTCGTTTGCTTGGCAAACCACAGACCATAACAGTTATTTATCCTTTTCTACACGATAAATAAATTACACACACAAAATAAAGAACACGTTGTTTTCTCTCTCGTTTCACGGCCGTGCCAATTTGTCGAATTGTCGACGAACGACGATCCAGATTCCATGATTTACGCGCGCAAATCTACGCGAATACGTGCACACGTGTATATATGTATATAATAACACGTACATAGACATGTAACAGTTTCGGCAATAAAAGTGCTCGTGTTTTTTTTCTTCATCTATGTATACATATAACGAAACGAATACGTTGTTAAGAATAAACGATCGTTTACAGACCCATGTATCGTTTCTGTGTTATGTAACCGTGTCGGTGTTTGGTTGATGTACACGTGTATTTCCGCTCTTCCGTTCTGCATGTACTTACATACGTATATAATTAGATACTGTGTATTGTTTTCTTTTTTCGTTTACTTTCTGGCACAAAAGTTAGTATTACCGTACGGTAGATCTGTACAAAAATAAATCAGCAGCATTTAAGCGATAAATCTTGGCGTATATGTTCAACGTTCCAGAAAAAACATCACTTCCCTCGCGTTCTCTGTTTTCTAATCCTCCTATAAACGCGCTCCTTGTTCAATTTCACTTTTTCCTCGAACCGCGCGTCCCTCTACGGCCCCTAGTTGCATATTTAACAATTTGTTCAGTTTCGTTAAAACATGTATATATGCATTAACATTTTTTTTCTCGCGTATGTGTACATACATAGATATCAGATACATAGTGTATATAACTCTAAGATTCTCTATAAAACTGAAGTTTCGTCACCTGGCGGACACAACGACCGTACCATCTCGTGAAAAACCCCAAATTCTCAGAAGTTGACACGTTAAACGTTATTAATCCAAATTAATATCCCTTTTATTTACGAGTAAAATTACTAATTGAACTTCTCGTTTGGGCTACGCCACTGCGTTGCTCTTATCTCTCTTCTGTTTATTGTTACACACTCCACATTTAAGAAGTAAAAGTAAAATCCAGCTTGATATTCAAAGTGTCGTGAATATAATCACTCTTCAGCATTTTCTGCTTTAAATTGACTCGAGTTGAATCGCGTTTTTTCACCGATCGTACGATCGACGTTTCCCTAAATTTTTCTATCAAAAAATAATAGAACAAGCTTCGCTACGTTATGTAAACGTACGTTAGCGAAGCAACCTCGCTTCGCAATTGAATAACAATTGATCGATAGATCGTGTTCTCTATGCGGAGATCGCTCGTATCTGTTTACTCTCTAAGCGTAAAGTATAATCTACGATCACTCTCGTTAATATTCAAGAATCAAAACACTTCTCTCGATTTGTTGCTTTATACCCCGACGATTTACCGAACCGATGGATTAGTTTCGTTATATTACACTATTACGCTATTAGTTCCAGTTTATGAAATCGTGTTAAAAGATCTCTTAATCGTTGTGTTTTGTTTTTAATGAGATAAATACAAAAATTAATAGTCGGAGTCGAGTAGAGAGTCAGAGTAAAATATGAGCACTGTTTAGGTCGGTCTATCCACTAAATTGTTTCTCTCTATATATATATTCTATCACGTTCAGAATAATTTTTACGATTTTATAAACTGGTTGAATATAATGAAACATCTCTCACGTCTAATACTATTTTAAAAAAAAAAAAAAAAAAAAAAAAAAAAAAAAAAAAAAAAAAAAAAAATAATCTATCACCTGCAGTGATTAATTATTACATAAACCAATAACGGCGAGAAGTGCTGCAATGTTCAAATATTAATCGAAAGTAGATCATCGGTGTTTAGCAACTTGTGCAAGAAAGAAATCTTGTCGTGGAGATTGAAATAATAGTAATTGATCGCCCTGGACGAATTTCTGTACATCATCGGACCGACTAGCAATCTTTACGCATCGCGAGAATCGATACTTGGCAACGAAACGAACGGAGGAAGATAAAAGTAGTCGAAACGAACGAGCATCGAACGTAACGAGCAAGTTAATATAAAAACGTTCGATGCCTCGCTTCTTGAACGATATTCGTATCCTACTGCTACTCTAATTCTCTTTTGTTTTTGTTTTTTTTTTTTCTTAGCTCGATTAACCGAGGCTACGGACGTTAAATATCGTAAAAATCTACCCCCTGGCGACGGTGTTTAACATGGGTGCGCTCGAGAGAGAACTATTTCTGTGATTTTTTACTGCGAATCCATTCGATGGTACCGTTCTCCAGGCGTTGAAATCACCGTGTATTACAATGGCACTTGCGCTGTAAAGCTTACAATGGGTCTACGTATAATGGTACACACAAGTACGTAATGCCTTTTAAGACTTTGTACGTTGTTCAATTTCATACTGTTAGAAATCGTATATCTTTGGCTTCGAAGCGTCTTATATCTCTCATTGTTTCTTTTTTCCCCCCATCACCTGAAAATATATCATCTCTTGAAGCTCAACGAAAATACTCTTGCGAAGATATTACACGTGTTACTCCACATTGTTGCATCGATATAATCCCTTTTTTGTTTGTCGGTATTCATGCGTTTACGCGTTTCCCGAATCTCTTCTCGCGTCTCGGATACAACGGTTGTACAATGTTTATGATATACATGCGTAGACACCTTTCTAAATCGTCTTGGTCAGTCTCTATATGTACATGTTAAGAACGTATGATATTTTTGCGGATATTTCTTATTTAAGACACAACAGAACTCCGGTCTGCAGTACAGTGAAGAGTTCATTCTTTTTTAATACTTTTTCATTAATCGTTTAACGTTTTACGAGGGAATCGAGAATCCCTAAAGACGTGTTGCGAAAATGATACCTTTCCTGGTGGATCTGGTTTGTCGAATAGAAAACGTAATCGGTTGGCGTAAATGCTCCTAAATCGATTAAAATTATCGTACAAGCTAGATATAACTATGTATTCGAGACGTTTTAAATTAAAATCCATAAATATTGCACGCTTCTAAAATATTGCTAGGTCGACTTGTTTGCAATGTTCGATACGTTGCTACGTTCTAAAATGACGATAGAACTATTTCTGTCTCTGCTAAAGCGTTAGAACCTTACGCAATTCGAAACGAAAATAAAAACGAAAGGACGGGTCGCGGAAAAGCAAAATACAAAACGTATCGAGGATTCAAAAGAACACCTTCTTTCGTAGGCATCGCAATTACCCCCTGCATTTACAACTATTTGAGACTAGACCTAGAATTGGCTATTACAATACTGTAACCCTATCATCGTTTTATCTCGTCTTTATCCCCTAATATAATCATCTATTAGAATATATTCAATTAATGAGTAACAACTGCTCTTTAAACTCTATTAACAGTAAGAATAATTCTTTTCGTTCTCTTCGTAGGCCAATACGTATCAGATATGCAGCTATAAAATAAAGTGCAAAATAGTCTTATCTTCTGTTGTTATTTTTCTCACTTTACTCTTAAGGGCATCGACGACAGTCTTGCAACTCAAGCATGCGTGTCTGTTTCGTTTAAATATTTGTCGCGGTGTATCCTTTCGATCGAAGGAGACATTTCATTTTTTTAATTGCGGAAAAGAAATGCGAATCACAAATGCTCGACAGTTGTCACGCGTAACAATCGCGTTAGAAATGCATCGCGAATAATAAATAAGAGCAAAAATGGTTTCGAAGGACTCGTTTCATTCGGCTCGCACGGACTTCGACGCCGATGCAACTTTTCACGCGCGCTTAAACCTGGATGGAACGAATCTCTCGATGCATTCTCCATTTACTATTCGACGCGTCTCGTCCACTTCCAATCTCTTGTCAGATAATACAAATACGTTTAATAACGTATTGATTATTGCCGATCATTGCGAGGACAGTTACAAAGTACACTTGGATGCAACGATATCCCTTTCTTCGAAAACATTCGAGTTTTCCTTCGCGCCTCGACATCTCCTAACAATAGCATGTAACGAGAAACATACCCATCGCGTATGAATAGGAATATATGCATATGTATAATATATATATATATATATAGGCTGTCTACGAGAAGCGACGAAGAACGCAGAAGGCTCTGTGAAAAAGGCACGAGATAACAAACTAGCTAAACAGCCCTCGTAAGTTTTCGAATACCTCGTTAATTCGTCAAAGAAAAATCTTGAGAAACTGTTCGCGAAGTTTACTGTTCTCAGTCGCTACGACGAGAGATGGAATTATTATTTCATCGCTGAACTTGATTAATAGTGCAACGGAATAGCGATGGCTTCGACTCCGTAACGTTAACTTGGTGTTCTTTTTGTTCATTTTTTTAACCTAGGCCCTGATAGCCAACTCTTCATTTTTAATCGGAACTTCCCGAAACGGGGAAGACCCTTGCGCCTGTTAGAGTGAAACGTATGCCAGGATTACTTTTCTGTTTCACTGAAATTAAAGTTACGGAGGCAGGGGCGTTTATTTCACTCCTCGTTCAGTGGCGCACCCAGAAATTTAGCGGAGTTGTAACTAAATATAAACAAAGATGTGATACTTTTCAAGATATTAAAGAAAAAAGTGATTCAACTTTTTTCTTATGTAATAATGAATGTCCTTTAGGATGTATTTAAAACGTTTTTCACCGTTATGTTAAAAATCTAGCAGCTTAAAAATGTTCTTCGTTGAAGTTTCATTCGATGACAGTTTACGTTTTCCTACATCTACGTGTAAAAAAGACGAGATAGTTAAAAGATGGATATTTGTAGCTGAAGTGAGAGGAATGTCCTCTCCTCCCCTGGATGTGCCACTGTCCTCATTGATCGCGATCCTAACGTTCCTCGACCACTGGAAACGCGACTCCCTATTCGACCATGATTGAGATTCTCAACCTACACAGGATATGTAACCTTGAATTTGACAAGAGAATTTACAGATAGAAATGGAAGAGATATGATTCACGGTGATCTCTCGACCAAAATTGTGTGCAGCAAATAAAATGGAACAGAAGCCACGTATACCACAAAATATACTGTTTCTGTATCCAATGATTGAATCGGACGCAGGAATCTTTTCCCCTAGTCTGTTTTCATGGATGCGTTAAACGTGCATTCGTGGTCTCGAATTTCGTCCGTCTCTAAGATTCCCAAAACGGCATACGACACAGCTTCTCTATGTGCACGGGGCTCGACGCCCTGGTGGCTGGAGCGGTTCTACTACGAGGTACAAAACTCCTTACGGGTATTTTGCTAAGTCCCTGATTATGATTCACGTCCAACGTCGAATACCGTCTAAGAGCCCTGCCGAGGCGTTCGCTTGGCGCGTAATCGACCACTTCTAAGCTATGGCATTTCATATTAGGCTTCATCTCCTTCGAATCCCCCGGTTTCAAGCTGAAATTCGCAGAGTGTCGTTTAGTCCTGTCTAGCGTACACTTGGTATGCATAAGCTTTGGCTTATCTTTATCCAACACCAACGAGTTTCGTTTCATCTTCTCGTCTATCGACCTCTCCTGATTAATGGATCCAAACCTTGTTCTCACCATAGACCCAAGATACACCGTATCCTTACTATCCAGCTGTTGTTGATCCTCTTTCCCCAATCTCAAGCCGTCTTCGTAGTCGATCGATGTTCTCCCGTTGTTAGACTGATTAGGTCCGTTTGTTCTTCGTTTAATACAGTTTTCGTATTCGACGGACAACTTCCCCTTGGGTTTCCCTTTGTCGAAACTAGCGGAATGCCGTTTAGTCCTTTCCAACGGGCATTTTGTTTGCAGAACCTTCGGCTTGTCCTTGTCCAAGATCAACGAATTTCGTTTCATCTTTTCGTCCATCGACCTTTCCTGATTCACGCCGAATCCGAATCTTGACCTCATCAGAGGTCCGACGTAGTAGACCTTTTTGCCCAGACTCTCCTTCACCATTCTCAAACCGTCCTCGCAGTCCATCGACGTTCTACCGTTGTTCGACTGATCGACACCGTTGGTTCTCCGTTTGATGCAATCTTCGTATTCGACGGACAAGTTCCCCTTGGGTTTCCCTTTGTCGAAGTTCATTCCGACGCTACGTGAACGCTCAAAGTTGAACAAGGTTCTCCTCTTCGTGAATACAGAGTCTTGCAGGTGAGGTATTTTGGACATGCTCTGCGAGAATTGTGCGGGTATCCGTATACCAGCGTCCACGAGAAATTCGTCATCCGACAGCATCACCGGTATTTCCGGCATCGAGCTACAAGGCCAACAAGAATTATAGTGAGCCGCTTTGGTCAGTGCTCTAAGCATAGCCAGATTAGGAGCACTGGAAAGCGTTCTCGCATTGGCAGTGTCCTTGCTGGCGATGTTAGTAGAGAACTCGCGCGCATAGTCTCGTGTTAGTAGGAAGTTCTGTTGCGACTTTCGTCGGTTCTCTCTCCTGATCGCTAGGAAGACGGATTTAGTGTAATCGGAGCGACAAGAATGGATATTATTCTCCTCCTCGTAGTTGCACTCGTACGTGTCTGGCCATACTATCAACGGCATCGAGCGGTTCTGTTGCACCGCTTGCATCATATCAGAATCATGGCACGGTCCATTGTCAGAGTTAGCATGGGCCGTACTGGCATTCGTGTTAGTATGTCCTAGTCTTTCCCAAGGATGTGTTAGTTGAACTCTGTTAGACGTAAAGCGTGCAGAACTTGACATTAGACTCTTACTGAGAATGTTAGTGGACTAGTAAACAGTTCTACGTTCCGTCAAAACTAAAAATTGTTAGACATGCCTCGATCGAATGCTACAGTTACGTTGTCGATCGATCTTAAACTCGTTATAGTCTTGAATAATTAATATCGTTGAACTAATAAATTAGTATTACGTTCGATTGCAGTAAAATGAATGAAAACCTAGCGTACCTCGCTCTCGATCCTTCACTCGAGTGACGAGGAGATCCGCTGCCTTCTATAACAGATTGCATATATTATGTATTATATTGTTGGTTTTCTTTAAAAAACTTACCTTTTGGCGTTGTCTGCGGCCTGGAAATAATAAAACATATTAAAATAACTGTTAGATGTAAAGATTGTAATTATGATAAGAGTCAAAACTTACATTGTTTTCCCTCCGTTATCAGATGTTCGTCGCCATGTACCTGCAACCATATATAACCGATATTATTTTCGAGAATAATCCATTCATATCTTCATCGTGATATTATATCATTACGAGTTGAACGGTAAAACTTACCCTTTTTCATTCCAGCTCCTCCAGGTGGTGATTTTCCAGTCGCCAGTCCTGATAACCTCTTCTCTTCTTCTAACTTCCTAGCATCCTCTATATCTTGCTTCGTGTGTTTATTTGCTGGCTGCCATAAGATATCTTATTAGCAAGAATAATTCGCGACATAAAATATACTTTTCGTTTAGCAACACTTACCGTTTGACCGTCGTATTTAAGCTTTATTTCATTCAATTTTCGTACAACGGATGCTAATACGGCAATCACGTCTCTGTCCTTCTCGCTGTTCATTAAATGTCCTATAGTAGTCTCTAACGCCGTCAATAACTTTTTATCTGTCGGCATCCATAACTGACTTTTCAATTGTGGCAATAGGGAAACCACTTTAATTCTAATGTTAGCTACGGGATCTTCGGCCAAGTTCAATAAAACGGAAAAAAAATGTTCCTTGAAATACGCGGAAGAGAAAATGTCCATGGCCTCTACCATCATACGAACAAACATCATTCTCACGTAACAGTCAGGACTGTTAGCCAACTCTGTGTATAATTTGCAACGAAGTTCTATCCGTTGAACAGCTTTCATATTGTAACGTAAAAGAAAAAGATACAATGTTCCCGCAGCAAGGCGTACGGGTATCGGCCTCTAAAATTAAACAAGAAAATAGAATTATTGTTTTGTATCTTTGAAAGGTATCAAAGCGTACCGATATTCTTTCAACTTACAGCATGTAATATTCTGAAAAAAGCCATTGGCACAAAATATGAGTATATAAAATCACTTGGAAAATATTTCGCTATTATCTCAAGCTGCGAATGCATTAGTGCAGTTAATCTCCAATTGTGTGTAGATGATATTTCTGCTTCGCATTTCAATAACGCTCTGCCTATTTCCGTAAGGGTAGAATCCTGCATTTGATAAATAATGCCATGTGAATAAAGCGAATACAATAAAATAGAGGAACATGTGATACGAAGAGACGTGATACAAACCATTCTATCAACACCAATAGTTTGACTTTCGGCTAAACAATCAAGCGTTAATCCTATGTGAGGAACTAAACCTTGTAGAACTTCTTCAGAGTCATCCTTTAATAATTTTATTAGGTCTGATTTTATGCGACCATTCTTTGGACCCAATACCTTGGCCACCTTTGCGTGAAATCACAAGTATAAGCATAAAATTATGTAGTATTTTATGTATTAAATAAAAACTCACTTCATGAATTCCACCTGCTACTGTTTTTCTGACCATATAATAATGATCGCCCGCCAATGCGTTAAACGTAATAAGTAATGCATCTGTATCATCCGCGGAATTTGATACAAAGAGAAACATTGCAGGTAAATTATAAGCGCAACACCTTCTGCATTCCATATATTTCTCATCTTCGGCTGGATTACTAGTTATCTAAAATTGTGTGATACGCGGGAGGAACTTAATTTAAACCCAATGTATTTTATGCGAATTTTTAGTTATATATACTCACAAACAAAAGGTGAGGTTTGGACTCTTTTTTCATCGAAACAATACCCATCTGTGCAAGTTGTTGAAAATATTTTAGAAACCACGTCTTTTCCGTGGGTATTAAGCATTCTAAAATATTTAATAAGTAGTATCATTTTGTCGTGGATACGAGAACAAAAATGTCTCGAAAGAAAAATTCTTACTTTCCAATCCAAGTACGAGTTTTCCAAACTCCTGGGCAATGATGCATATCACATTATCGTCCAATTTCATTGCGTTTTCGCATAATTTTTTAACAAGTGGCACTATGGTAGTTTTTATTGTATCTGTAAAGGACCATTGCAACAAATCATATCTTGATTCCAAAAGAATCGCATCTATGGGTTCATCTCGATATCTTTCACTACTAAAAACTTGGAATGCTTAATGAATAATGCACAACTAGTCATCAAGCATACCTTCCTGAAGATGAGGTAGCAAGTACACTATTGTCTGTACAGAGGTGCATCTTACATTGCTTTCTTCGTCGCTTGCTAATTCTACGAGAGATGGTAACAAAGCAGGTTTTACAGACTCAGCACCAAGGCCTTCGGCAACAAAACGTAGCTGCAAGCAGATACTAGCTCGTACTTCGCTATTTACATCCTGACAGAGGGAATGTACCGTTGGTAGAACTTCCTTCTGTATCCTGACAACAATTTTAATACGTATACTTATTTAACGACTCTATCAGGAAACGAAACTATTTTTAGTGCTTTCGGCAATCTAACATTTCCGTGTAATTCATTGAAAAATATCGTTTGAAAATTTGTAGCCTTTGCGAGAAAAGTTACCGAACATCGTGGAAAGTCATACTCACATAGAAGAATCAAATCTTGTACAAATTTTTCCTAGTAACCTGCTGCATGTTACCCTGGAGTAGATAGGTTGCGACAATTGTCCTTTGATTATAGTCAATGGAAGAATCTGTACGATTTTATTTCTATTATTATCAAATCGATATTGCGATCGTATTAAATTTAAATAGCATTTAATGTTTAATAGATAATTGTATCATCGAAACTGTATAAAAATAGAGAACAACCGTTTGTAATAAATGAATTTTGACAGAGTACTTGATGCTTAGTCTAGCGTGGAATAATAAAATTAAATCAATTTTATTACTAATATCCTACAAGTTTAATATTACAAAGTTGTATATATGCTACTCGAACAACAATACAATTTGCCTTTCTAAATTGTAATGTTTCCTAGATATCAATTTCTAAGATTGTCTATACGAACCTGCGATCTTATAACTTCTACCGGCAGTAACTCTATCGCATCCAGTAAGGTCTCCAGCCATGCATCACAAACAACTTTAAATGTATATATACATGTTAAGTTATGTAGAGTAACAGCAAATGCATGAAACTGTCAATACGGGTTGAGCTAGCAACTCTATTATACAAGCAGACAGAATTAGTTTACCTGGATCACGACTGTCAAGCGAATTTAATATACTTTGAAGGAATGTTTGACTAAAGACGTTATGGTTGACAAGTTTCTGCTCTAATATCGTTTTGAATGTCGATGAAGCTGCAAGGTGAAACTCTGTGGATGCTGTAGGCAGCGATTGCTGCATTTTTGGTACCACACGGGACATACATGATTGCGTGTCCGTAGCTAAGAGGCTTGGTAAATTGTGTATAACGCTGAGTTTTTGAAAATCATCGCCTTTCCTGGAATAATTACACATGCCAGGATAGTATGAAATATAAACCAGCAATCACACTACTACATATAACTTACTACGAAGAGATAAATGGAAAATAGGATTCAATTATAGATGTAATTATTCTCAAAGTTTACTCTAATAAATTATCAAATAAATCGTTTTATTTGTTTAACGTGAAACTATGTATCATCATCGATTCTATAAAAATAACTGCGTCATCGTACCCGCGTTATTTTCCTTAAATGTATGCAAACTCCAAGGACGGAAATCTTTGCATAACACATCCTTTTTGAGTATGCGTCGGTACAGTTTGCATAGGTGCAATGTTTACATACGAACGCAGTCGCATTCTTGTGTATCTCGCGTATTTGACGATTCAACAAACACGCTATTATTAAGAATTTAATGAGGAAAAAGAAAAAGAACGAAGACAACCGAAAATGCTGTCAACTTGTCGAATAACCTACACCGAAGAGATTGTCACGGTCTACGATTAAGGTCCTCCGGATCATTGCATACAAGTTACTCGTACGTAGAATGTCATTTCTTACGAGTGGATGTCTTTAAAGGAGTATAATTAGCGATGCTTAGACGAAAGGACAGTACACTCCTTGAACGACGCCGCGTTATTTTTAGGAATTCGTCTATGGATTGGTACGAAAGGGAAACAGCATAGAAGGAAAGGAAATACGGGCCGATCGCGGGCACTCGGTTTTTCTAAACTAAAAACTACGTTGTCCAGTTACTCACAGGTCCAATACGCTCTCGTACGGAGCTTTATCTTCCTCTTGCAACATTTTCGCCGCGCATTTTATTCAACGATACACCGAATAGCGTCGCGACGACCGATTGATTCTCTTACGTAGTCGACGATACACGCGTACGCACTCTCCTGACGCATTTGACGCAAGAAAAATAACACGACGGAACGTGGATGACAACTAAACTGGGCTCCGAGTCGGACTCCAAGGTATCGATTATATCTGACTTTGTCGTACGAGACCGCGAGCGCGGCCGAACCTCGCCGAGATCGTCCGAGCGCAGCCTACGTGCGCATCTCGTCGGTGACACACACGTAAACGCAGCGTCGCGCGTAATACAATAGAGATGCGACGCGTCGATCGGGAACCGATGTTGTGTAATCGTAAATCTATGGAGTCACCTCGCGATTTTCGCGCAATGATGCGTATCGATTCTGGGAGTGTCGCACATTTCTAAGAAAAATAAATACCGCTTATACTATGATGGAACGCTATTGTTCACTTGTCGCGCAAGGCGAAGGATAATTCGATCGCGATCAAGGTGCCCCCACCCCCCTTTCAGATCCAAGCTTCGATTACTGTGATATGTAAAGCAAACTGTAAGCACTTATTTTCCTCTTTTTATTTCTGGTATGATAATTGTCAATTCGGGACTTAATTAGTCGCGTGTACGGAAGCGATTCATGCACAGAAATTGCAAGCATCATTGTCGTTCGGAGACAATGGCATACTAGGGAACGTGGGGGTACAGGAAATTATGTTATCCTCGGAAATTTATCAAAATTTGTTTCGGTATTTGAAGAAACAAGGCCCAGGGTTGCACTATTGCTTAATTTAAACTTGTTTATAATCGTTACTTAGTTCCACATAGAATTAATTAATCGCGGAACAACTTTGATACGATAATCGCGCGGCGATTACGTAGTCCAATTCAAGGCTTTGTACGGTGAATTGTCGTCGGAGCAGTGTGCGGGAAATTGCTATTATTATGAAGCCCCAAGGATACTATTCTGTGAAGATCACGCAACCCGGGAATACTCCGTAACGCCAATGACTCGATTAAGAGAAATGTTTTATCGAAGGAACAAATAAGTCATTTGTTATACGTGCTACATACTCGATTCACTTACGACAAAAGATAAATCGCTCTGTCTATGGGCCGTTTCTCCAAATTAGCGTCCAAGCTGTGCTTTTTCAGTTGCTCTTCATTCTATTGACGTATAGGTTATCAGTCGATCGGGTATTTCTAATAAAACAAACTGTCATTAACACGTACTCTTATATCGGGAATGGGCATGTCTAATTGCAGGCTAGCGAATTCCTCGTAGTCCATAATCGGTCCGCGTTGCATCATTGCGGTAATCGTATATATTACACCGTTTGTTTGAAACAATTTACCAGAAACGGGAACCCGTTTGTTCAGGTCGTATGCAAGCGGAAGTAACGAGTGAAATAAAAAAAAAAAGAAAAAAGAAACACGATCATTCGATGATTTTCAAGAATGCCCATTGATATTCCGTGGGTTACACGCCGCTCGCTCGCGAGATTACGTCGCGGTATACGAGAAATGAATATTGACAACTCCTCGAAGACAGGCAACTCTATAAAATACGAAATATATTTAACCTTTCATAGCATGTCGTATAATTTAGATGAAGTATACATACCTTACAGGCGTTGCGTAGTGCGTGTATCGCGTGATACGCTTAGCGTTATAAAAGATTACAAGTTTTACAATTACGAATATTTACAAAAAAGAAAAAAAAATGAAAATGTTTGGATTTAATTAAAACGCTTCCGACAACTTCTGGTGTATATCTTATTGACTTAAGATAATCGCGCTTGCATTCGCGATACGAAGTACTATACGATTTATACGTTCTAAAATTAAAAAGAAGGGATGAAGAAAGGAGTGATAATTAATAAGTAACAGAGAAAGAGAGAATGAGAAAGAGAAGAAAGACAGAGATGGGGAACGAGTTATATAAATTGTCGTGTTTATTCCGCGGTGAACTAATTTCCAGTTAGAAAAGTTTAGAAAGAGGAAACGAGACGCGAATGTACATACATAGCGAGGAGGAAACCTGATGAAACGCGACGAGGCGATAAGTCGACGCTGTTTTGTTGGCTCGAAACGAGTCTACGAACGATCTCAAACTCGTGAGACACTTTAAAGATGTGCGTATCGACTACGTGAACGTATTCGAGGATGAACGCAAAGACGACGAATGGAAAACGAGGATCTCCACTCTCGACGCGGTTGTGATAAAATTTACATTTCATTATCGGCGGTTCGTTCTGCGGATCGACGAAATTTTTATGTTTTTCTCGAACTCTATAGGCCAGCATTCGTTCAAACATCCGCGGGGACCCTTTGTTCCTTTATTTGATCTTTTATCAACGATGCGCGGTTTATGCATTGCTTATACACACATGTATATTATATTATATATATATATATATTTTTACAGCTATTCTCGATCGCGTATAAAAAGAGAATTACGAATAATATCATCTCGACGCAAGTCTTGTCCGCTACAGTCTATACTTAATATAACATTTCTATAATGAAGTCTAATAAAAAGAAAACCTTACGGTTAAGGCTCGTGGAAGCACCCTGAATCACTGTGTAACACAGTTTATCGCTAAAACTCGTCAAAGATCGATAGCGCGCGGTTTGACTTTGTTGCGGGCGTAATCCGTAACGCCACTCCGTATGGAGAATTTCTCCATTATTCCCTACCCAATTTTCTCCGTTTCGCTTTCGACCAAACTACGGACAAAGTAACCATTCTCTGTTCCGTTCGACGAGGACGACGTTAATTAGATATCATACATGTATCGCCTACTGTCTCTCAAAATATCGTGCATGCGTTCCAGTTTGGACTAGTTTCTGTCGTAACGAGACCACGTTTACATCAGCCAACATGTATATACGTGTTCCCGGCCAGCGACATTCGGCACTTTGATTTCGTCGAGGTGCACATAGACGGGCAGCGTCTCAGACTTTTATCGTCTCAGACGTAGCTCTCATCGTCTACGACCGATCTACCGTATCCCAGGTGCCTCGTGGCTACCGAGGCACGAGGTTGAGGCGGTGGCCGATAAGGAGGCGGTGGCGGAAGGGACCTCGACCTTCCTGCCACTTTGTGCCTGTCTTCCAAATTCATGTGCACCGGTGGCAAATGCCTCAATCTCGGTGGCAAGGGTGGCGGTGTGTCTGGCCACGTTCTTTCCTCTTCTTCATCCTCGTCGCCGTATAAATCGATCGCCTCGGCTTGCTTAAACGAATACAAATCGTTTCTCTCCCTCGAGCTATATATCTCGTTCGTTCTGTCCCTGTTCCCGTAGATGCTACTCTCGGATTCGTATCTCTCGGTACGCGTGCTCTCTTTGTTGACGTATATCTCGCTCTTCACCTTCTTGAACTCGTAGAGATCGCTACTCGAGTGGTAGCTACCGTTTTGGGAAACGGGAGAGTCTCGATTGACGTACACTTCTGATTTGACCTTCTTGAACTCGTTGAATCTCTCCTTCTTGAATTCGTATCTGTCACTAGACAACGATGCATCCCCAGATAAATCCTGTTCCGAATTGTGAACTGAGACTCGCTCCGTGCAGATGTCCTGTTGCGACGCTCTCTCGTACTCTGACCTGAGGTCGCGCGTTATGTCCAATTGGGACGATCTGTAAATGTCTTTGCAGTTCTCCACGTTCTCCTTCATCGAGTCTTGTCTGAGATACTCCCTACCGTAGATGTCTTTCTCGTCGAACCTCTCCTTGCGGTGGTGGTCGTGCTCGTCGAGTTTCGTCCGCGGCGTTCTCTTCAGCTGAGCTCTCAGCCAGTCCTGTCTCTGAAAATTCGGATTCGGATAACCAATGCTATTCTTCTCCTCTCTAAAACCACCGTGTTCCACGGCGCTCGAGTGATGATTGTTCGCCGTGTATCCGTTTATTCTCTCCTCCCATCCACCGTAAACGCGAATGTACGATTTGCTAACGGACTTGTCTTCCTTGCTTATGGATTTGTCGAAGCTTGATGACGAGGCGTTCACGGCGGAGTCCTCGGATCCCACTGGCGACTCTGGAATGAACAGCTGGCAATCGGACAGGGTCAACCCGGAGTCTCTCGAAAGAGACATGTGGTCTTTTCGCGGTGGCTCCGTCAGGTCCAGGCTGTCCAGGGAAAGCCCACCTGCTGCAACGAGAAAAGTTCCTCAGTGGATTATGAAAACGCTATTATCGAAACGAAGTAGCAAGGATAGATCCGTCCAGAGAACGTAGCCTTCTTTAATAAGAAATACGAGAACATGTGGCCAAGATGACTGTGACATTGGTTGTTTCTCTTGAACCAGCATTAACTTCTGTTGTATCTTTTAAAAGTTAGAAAAACAGTCCACAACTTCGAAGAGTAAGTGGACAACCAGCAACACAGTTCTTTTAGGTTCTTGTAAATAGATACTGGAGTTAAAAAATCTATAAATAGGCTCGGATAGTAAGTGTAGATAAATAAGTGAAGGTACCCCCTCTGTACAGGTCTCCCCTGTCTGGAAGAAAAGAACGATCGAAGGAAAGTGTACTCACAGTGAAGGCTGTCGGTGCTCTCTTCGGCTCCGCTGTCGCTGCGCTCCTCCCCGAGGAGTTGCGTGACGCCTTCGCCGAACAGAACTTCGCAGTGACGGATCAGCATTTCCGTCAACGTGGGAATCGACCTGCTCTGGTTCACCGAAGGATTAGGCGACCAGAGTAAGCTGGGTCCGCAGCATACACCGAGATTGCTGGCGCACATGAGATTGTGCTTCGACCTTCGTGCCACGTGGTGCAGAACGCATATCAGATGCGACAGGAGGGTGTAATTCGCTTTGGGCAATCTATCTAAAATACTGAAAAGACCAAAACATTGTTCGTTAGCTATCATACAAATGCACAAGCTCAGTAGCTTTGGACAAGAATAAAATAATCCTCACTTCTTAATAGTTTGAATAGGATTTGGCGTGTCCAAGCTATCCATCCACAGAGGGAAGAGATGAGAGGTTAGCAGAGGATCCGGTAAAGACCTCAAGAAATCTTTGAGCAGGGCCGCCACCGCTATGATCGGCGCGTCCTCGAGGCAATTCGGGTCACCGGTTGATTCGATCTGATCTCGTAACTCGCGGACGATCCTGACGTTCGCGGACTTTCGAAAAATCCCTTGCGTGAAGGGACCTTTGGCGAACAGCTGCTGCAGCATCACTAGGACGGGTTTCGGTAGTCCGTTTTCGTCGAGTCTAGACAAATTTACTCCGAACAGGCTCGGATTTAGAGATAGAGATCTCCTCAATAATCCAGTGATCTTCGACTTGTTCTTTTTCACTGGTGACTTGGGCACGGGCCTGAGGATGAAGTGGCAGGTATCGTGTCCGCTCTTGTTACAGTGCTCCAGGTCGAAACCCTCCTCTGCGGACAAGGTATGTCGCAGATTCGAGAGTTTCACGGCAAAGGGTCTCTCGTGACCTATCAGAGGATAGGGTGCCTCGTCCGCGGACGTCCTGGCCCACAACTGAAACGGGCCTTGGAGATCCAGAAGACGCGTGGCTAGGTTCACGCAGGCTCCTGCCGTCATTTCGGATCCCACCATTATCGTCTTACACTGTGAACACATGGGAGGTAGCAGATGCAGCTTTCAGTGGATAAACGAATACATAAGTTAAATATTTCACGAGGGGCTGAAGCTATCAGATGCGCATTATCACGAGTCGACCTCTGTAGTTTTTCCTTTTTGAAGGAGATCTTCAACGGAAACACTCACACTCATCCACGCCTGTTTTTCATTCACTTGTGTATTCCTATTTCTTTTTTTCTTACTTCGCACCTTAGCCGTCGTCCAAGAAGCTACGACAGTTCTACGTCCAAGTCTTCGAGCTTCGACTTGTCCACGTGGGGGTTTCCTCTTTCATTCCTTTCAATTTTCAAGCACTCCGCTTCGTCCACACGCTTTCACGCATACTCCTTATATACCACTACCGCATTTTCCCCGATTCTACGCGTGTTTGTAGGAATAACAATCGCGCCACATCGCGAAAAACACATCACGATGTTGTTATAACGAGACCACTATGCGTTCGAGTCGATTAGCTTCCGGCAATCGTAAGGAGGTACTCTGGTAGGTTCGATAGCAACGTCGAGCTGGTTCGCGCGTGTTTAAATGCAACACGTTGGTCGATAATGAACGCTTCGGCCGAGGGAACACGTCGATAAAGTCCAAGAGATAGAGGGAAGCTCTTTTTAGCAGGAGCGATCCACTCGACGTTGACGTCAATGATATAAAAGGGGCATCTCGAGCGAAGAATGCCTCCAGGAAGGTCAACCGATCGAACCTCCCCTCTCTTCGAAGGGGGATGCGCGAAGAATGGACCGCGAAGGCGTGACCGCGTGTATATCTCTGCGTTCTCCGCAGGCGGGGAAGAGGGCTGCACTTACGTATTCCGTGTTCGTGTCACTGTCGTGATACACGACTTGAATGTTTGTATCCGGCGGCTCCTTCATACTCTCCTCTCGTACCAGCTCGGTCAGACGTCCCCACCAGAGATCCCTGGCTGCAGCAGTCCTGAAAGAAAGAAATAAACGCTGATACGTTGTGATTCGAACGACCCACGGGCTACCGAAGTACGAATCTCGAGTGATCCCACGCTCTCCTCCTTTTGCCAACGCGACTTTTTCGTTTCGCCTCGCCTCAGGGACGTGTTTACCACGACGCTGAAAAAGCGTCTCAGAAGAAGCCCTCGAAGGCCTCTTATACATTGAGCTTTTAATTCGACTGTTATACTATTGGAGAGCATGGAGAAGAAACTGTTTTCTTTTTTAAATTTTACTGACATAATGAATTTAAATGAAACATTTTATATACGTGACACGATGAGCAAAGCTTTTGCAATATTCTACATACAGTGTGTTTCGTTTATCTAGCAAAGTAAATATGTCGTGACGCACTGAAGTTACAAAAAAATTTATTTACAAAAATTGTTCGGTTTGTAGGGTACAATCGTATGATGTCATTTTTTTCGGGCCTGGAATAGTAGGAAGGGGGGATTTCAAAGTCAAAATAAGTTTTTTAAATGGAACTATATATTTTTTTTTCATGGCCTGATAGCTTTTTTCGAAACGAATTCAACGGTATATCACATTATTTAATTTGCTGTCTCCAAACGTTAGAAATTATATTATAAACTTGTGACGTTTTGAGTAGGTAATGGTAGGACATATCGGGTTGCCGCGACTATTAGCTGTAACACTGTTGTCATTTGTTTTGATGAGTTGTGATATTTGGCTCGAGTCTCATTTATTTTAGTTGAGAAAGTGCAATACTAGAGATTAGTTCTGTTTGGTGTTTTCGAAATTATTGATTTCCAAAAAATGTCCTTAACACTTCAGGAAAATGCCGAATTAGTTCGTCTGCGTGTTGATAGATATTTATCCTATGCCAAAGTCGCTCGGGAATTTCATAGATGGCATCCTTGTCAACAAATGCCAACAGTGTCAACAATAAGAAACATTGTTAATTTATTCAAACAATTTCTAATGATATAAACTATAAATATTGTATTCATTTTTTTGATAACTTAAGATGCTTCAGGAGACATAAGAAGGTCGATCTTTGTTTACATTACAGTGTTGCAGTTAATAGCCGCGGCAACCCGATATGTCCTACCTGACTATTACCTACTCAAAACGTTACAAGTTTATAATATAATTTCTAACGTTTGGAGACAGCAAATTAAATAATGTGATATACCGTTGAATTCGTTTCGAAAAAAACTATCAGGCTATGAAAAAAAAAATATATAGTTCCATTTAAAAAACTTATTTTGACTTTGAAATTCCTCCTCCCTACTATTCCAGGTCCGAAAAAAATTACATCATATGATTGTACCCTACAAACCAAACAATTTTTGTAAATAAATTTTGTTCGTAACTTCAGTGCGTCACGACATATTTACTTTGCTAGATAAACGAAACACACTGTATATCGCCCTGGGTTTCATAAATTGAAATAGATAGTGCAAGCGCAAACACGAGTTTACTCGTGACCGGTCAACAACGTTTTAAAACTGGAACTACTGACAACCAATGCAATGGATTTGAAATTAAGGGAGGGAGAGCCAAATGAATGTGTGAATATAATCAGTTCGCCATTTTCAATGCTTATCATAAAAGCTGCTGATAGGAATTGTTGATAACTAATTGTAGTGTACGTAAGTTTGCTTACATGAAAGTGGCGACGACGTTCGTAGTGGGCCAGCCGAGAACGAAGCTGGTTTCCTGGGATTTGCTCGTCTCAGCCACGTCCTCTATGTGGCCCGCCGTCAACCAGAGTTCGCTCATCTTCACCGATTGCTTCAGCTTGAAGTTACCCCCGCTTCGTGCCTTCGCGATGAGCAACAGATCGGAGAACAGAAAGAGGTGTCTCTCCTGTGACTGCACACCCTGGAATTCGTTGGACAATTTTATATTTGGAAATCGGCAGCTTGGAAAGCAGAAGTCTAGTTTACTAATTGTGTTTCATTAGTCTATATAAAATGTGGGAGAACGTGCGAGAATGTACACGAATACAAAAATATATGTTACGTTAAATGTATAAACAATAAAATGCATGTTACACTGTTTACTTTCATTTAAATTTCAATGTTAGCTGTGTAAAAATACTTTTTAAATTGTAAAAATATGAATTTGCATGAACATCCGCAGTACATTTATGAGAAACACGTTAAACTATTTTGCTTAATTCTCATTCTTGATTCCTGCGGGTACATTTAAGATCTCTCTGTTTGTGATTTATTTGTAGCTCGAATATTCCGTGTATATTGTTTCCTACCGTGGTGAATTGAACCGGAGTTTCCAGGAGGAAAGTCCTGGGTGGAGATTTGGGGGCTGGTGAGTTGCTGGGCACATTCAACGACTTCTGCGACAGCACTCTCGTCAGCCTTCCAGGGTTCCCACCACTTCTCTTGCGGATCAGACTCTTCATTTTCTGAAAGAAAACGACCACGTGCAATGAAATGAACGTAAATACCATTCGAAAAGAATTTATTTCCAGTGAGGATTCGTGGGGAAGCCCGGTAATCGAACTTCGAAGCGGTACCGCACACGCTTGGCAGCCACTAGTGCACACTAAAATCTATTGTCTCGAGAGTGTATTACCCATAGGTTCGCGTGATATTTCCTAGTGAAAACAAGTCCAAGATCTTAAACTATTTTTAATCGCAAATAGTTGAATGTTCTCTATTTGATAAAATTATAACAGAAAATAATTCGAATAAAGTACCGTTGATTCGATACAAAAAGTACGAGTAAATTTTAATTCGAAACTCTCCCCAGGTTCGAGAATCGTCGACCAAAGTCTCAGGCTAATAACCGTCGACCGTTAGGTTGGGGTTTATGATACGATACCTGAGGAGCGTGCTATTGTTTAGGAACATCTGCTACTAATACTAACGCTTCAGGCGGCCAATTAAGGTAGGGATTATGGCCCTAGAAACAGCTTCATTGTTACGAACTTTCTGTAAACGTTTTCAGCGTCGTACTGTCTTGTCTTTACTGGCGAATGACGTATCATAAAACCACGATTGGGGGCTGCGTACTTTTATTTGCATTTTCTTTTACATTGATCTATGGTCGAGCTCGACTCCTTTTTATTTCATTTCAATGAGTCCTGCAGGTGCACCATTCATCTTTATTTAAAAATCGGGCTTCTAAAAGAGACTTTCCCGAAACTGACCCAACAATTTCGCGCTGCAGATGCTCTTTACGACAATGCTATTTGAAAATCGTAGTTTCAGAACTGACTTTTACAAAACTTGACTTAACAGTTATGCTGCAGGTGCGCTATGAACCTGTATAAAAATCACAATTTGAGAACTGGCTTTACATAATTGAACTGACAATTTCTATAATAACTTGTACATATCTGCCATGGATCCTCATCAAACTGTATACACAATTTACCGGCAATTTACCTTTCGCCGTTAATTAACTACCATTAATTCTCCAAAGCTTAATAATACTTTACGATTTCCTCCGACGGTTTAGAGATTCTAGGCGGTTCTTTTCTGACGGGATAGAGCTACGTCAAACTAGGAGACGGTCGAGCACAGCCGCAGCTGACAAATAACGCTACCAAATATAGCGAAGCGACCCCCGGGTCACACGAAACTCGAAGCCACGAGCAACAGGACAGGTTGATTAACATACTTCGTTTTGACATGGCCGACATATTAGACATCGGGAACCTTTCTCTCTCCCACGTTATTCTCTTGACCTTTTTCTTTTACGAAATCGATTGGACCAAGTTCTATCCAAATTTGTCACGGACCACGAAGATGCGCGGCATTGGGAAACGAATATGGTTGACAGATACGGACCAAGTCGCAGTCTCTGTGGCCTGATGTAGCCATTTGTTTTTTAAATAAATTTTCTATATTTTTTCTTTTAATCAATAGAGAATTTCTTGAAATCCAGAAATTTTATTTACGAAGGCATGCCATTTTCCAATTTGGTGATATGTCGAAGAAATCCTATGTCAGGCCACAGCCATAAGTGCCTATTTTAAGAAAATTTTTGATTTTTTCTTTGCAGTGCTCACGTGTGTATGCTGTAGAATCAAATAACACCACGTTAATGATACTATAACACCGGTTTTTGTTGATTTAAATGTTCAATAAGACATAATAAAAGTCTATAAATAATCCATCCTGTAGTTTCTTTGCAAAAAATGTTTCTGAAAGTACTTCTACTTCTAGGGCCATTATAGCGATGTAGTCCCTTTAAGTATGCAATCAAAAGTACATCCAGCTAACAGATTAATTCCAACGTACTATTTTACTCATTAGTACGTTAAAAAAGAAGGGAAATTACCAATCGTAGAATGTCCGGCGAGACGCGTGGGAAAGGGCCATCGCGTCCGTAGTGCGGGTAAACGAGCGACTGCGCTTTTTCCGCGCGTTGAAAGGGAAAAACGTTCTAGCGTGTTCGTGAGAATCGTCGAAACGCATCCCGCAAAACGCTTGGGACGATTCTCAGCCCACGTTTCCACAGGAAGCATCGAATTTAGAGGAAGAGGGCGTTCTATATTTTCGTTTAGGTTAGCGGAATTGAAACAGTACCGTGGTGAGAACATCTCGTTCGTGCAGTCGAAGGTTGTCGCCAGGGAACAGCTCTTGGATCCGATGGAGATCGCCCTCGAGCTGACCGCGCTGGAGGACGGCGCCGCTGCCGACGGTTCCGTTTCCGTTCTCCACCAAGTTCCTCGCTTCCTGGCCCAGATACCTTTCGTATTCGGCCAGCCTCTGGACCTGCAACATTCCGAGTCAATTTTTATTAATTATTGTACCTACTTGGTAGATGATGGGGTTAGATAATTGTATCGAGGACCATAGGGAAGAAATGCCTCTGATTAAAGCCAGGGATTCAAGAAGATGGCTCTTTGTTCAATGAGTCATTGCTCAGTCGACCGAGAGAATCAAATCGATGTTGAATACATTACTCTCCAGAACCAGACTTTCTACTGAAAAGAAGTCTTCTGAACTCTTAAAAACTGTTAATTTACTAATTTGATAATTGTATGTTTACTAATATTCTTCCGAGTAATAAATCTCCGTTTTTCTTGTATCGAGAAACGTACACTGTTTCTGCATATCATAAAACACCAGAACATACATGCACTTCATATTAATACATTACTTTGATAAATGAACGTAATGGGTATTCGAAAAAGTTCGTGGCGTTTTGTCGCCCGATCAAAGCGAGAATGCTACGCAGGTATGTGAAAAAATTTGTGATTTTTACGGACAAAATGCTCTATCAAAATTTTGATGCCAAAGATGCATCACGCTGTGGTCGACCAACCACAGAACGACGCGATAAAATCATGTAAACGGTTGAGAAACGCCACGAACTTTTTCGAATACACAATAATTAATCTATCAAGTGTGTCAATTCTCTTGCCTTCTCCGAATAATTCCTCTTTTCAAGAACCTCATAGTCAATCGTTCCCAAGTAAAATCGTAAAGCAGTTCCATTCAAACGATACCTCTGAATCTGCGATTTTTGTTTCCACAAAATTTTCACGCTGAACGAGCGAGGCAATTACTATCGACGATGCATCGAGTCGAGTTATATAAATTCGCGGCGAGTCACAGCTCAACCATTCGGCGAATAGACTACACAAGCGGTTAATTCATTGCTTACGATTAGTTGCGACGAGCTGCAAAGTGGTTTGCATCTATCGCTCGGGTTTCTGTTGTTTACCGCGTGCGAAATAACCCACATAAACACACCTATAAACGTTTTCGTCGGGATCGGTGCCAAGAAACCGTGCCGATTACCACTGGGTCAATTTCGGGAGGATCGACTCGAGACATCGACGGAAATATCGCGTTTATTGTTGCGATTTCCTGGGGTAGGTAGATTTATTTATTCGTTCAACAGGTGGATTCTCGATGGTGAAAATAAATGTTTGCGATAGCAAGTGCGAGTATGAATAGATGATGTAGCAAATAGTAAGCGAAAGAGTACGGTGAAGTGATTCATAAGTTGATTCAAAGAAACATTAATATTAAAACCACCGAAGTCGACGCATACCTATCGTATCTACAATCTTTAGAATCTATATCTTAGAAATCTAGATTTCTAGAACCTTCATCTACAATCTTTCGGAACTCTCTCTTTCAGGGTTTGACTTGGTGATTGGTATTAACTCTTAACCCTTTCAAATAATCCCCTGAGACACAACAATACCTGCTACGAAGGATGAAGATACGCACACTTTTGTTTTACTCGAAAGTCAACGTTTTCGCATCGCTACTCTTTATTGTAAGTATCCACGTGCACTGTCAAATTTGTTATCAAAATGTAACCAGCTGTACGATTCGCGCGTGTAACCAGCCACCCACGCGGTACAAGAGTTCCGTAACTCGTAACAAAAGCGTACCACATCTTTTCTCACACGTACCAAACCAAGAATCGGATTTGGTGTCATTCGTAGAGCGGGGATTTGATCGACAGGCCTGTTCGAGGTCAGCCTAATCAGTACTTAATCCTACCGTTTCGAAAGAGGACTTGAAACGTTAACGACCCTAGATTCGACTCCACTCCGGAGATTAAAGGCAACGTTCGATCATTCATTGATAGATGATCGGACGGGAATCACCGATTATCATAAACTCGCAGGAGTGGTTGATGGGGAACAATCAGTGCTTGATTAGAATTCTTTGGTTAAAGGCTTTGACAGAGGTCTTGGATACAAATTTTGGCCGAGGAATAATATGAAACTAACAATTTTTTATCTGCAAATGTGGAGCAAGCGAATATTAGATACAGCGTAAATGAGGGCCCTTTTTAGAAACAAAATTTGTCATAGAAAAATAAATATTCTTTCTTATTTTTTTCATTTTATGATTTGTTGTCGTTTGAAGTCAGATATTATCAGAAACGATAAACGAAAATTGTATGCAATAATATTTTTCTTTTAACCAGTAAATTCAACATCACTTTTTATCGTTATTTTTATATAAATATAAATTCTTTATATCGCCAACGAGAGACTTTCGAGCCCACCCAAATTCAAAATTCCAGCGCACTCGTACAATAAATCAGTCGATGCCGTGAAGCGTCTGTGATTTTTTTAAACAGTGGCTCTTTACCCAACGAAATCTCTTTGATCGAGAAGTTCCGAAGCGCCGAGAGCTACTACTCTTCGAATGTTTCTCTCTCACCGTTCACGATAGTTTCCTGCAACTAACTTGTACCTACAGTTGTGGAGTCCGATGCGTAGCCCTCGTCGACGAACACGTCCAAGTATTTGATGAACATCGCGATCTACTTGAGAGCAGCGAACGCGACACGCGTTTTTCTCGACGCACGACGCTCCAAGACGATCCGTGGACGACTCGACGCTCCTTTAATTTCACTCGACATCGAGAGCACAAGGCGTGGCGACCGGTTGCACGGCTCGCACCTCGAACACTGAAGAACGAACGTGATTTTCACGCGCAACGCGTTGCTCCGTTGATACATCTTTCGCGCTCAATGAATCATCGAGCCACCGGAAGTAACCACTCCGCCTCGAGAGCGGAGGCTGGCTCGTGTGTCACCGATTTTCTCACCTGCGGCGAACGTTTGCTTCTCGTCTCGATGCACCGGTGATTACCTACGCGCCGTGACCGAACGCTATCGTTCTTTCTGGCCTGAAGAAAGTGTTTCTTCGGGTTATACGCGTGAAAATCGTGTTCTTGCATTTTTTTATTCCTCGACGAAAGGTTTCTTCGTTTACGATAAGCTCTTTCGCTTTTACTCGGTGATTGAACCTGCTTTGGATTTCGTTATCGCCGAGCGCAGACGATTTTTATCGGGTGGAACGTTCCGCTTTCGGATGTATGAATTTTTGTGTTGGATTGTTGAGGCTTATTGAGAGAATTAACACTAAACCACGAGTGATTCGATGACCGGTTTGGAATTTTTGTATACAATTCTTATATGCAATGTATGAATTATGTACAATTGTTTCGTGCGTTATTCAATTTTGATCCACGTGAACTATTTTTGCATTTAATTGAAACAAGTATCTTTAATCCTTTGGCTTACGATCTACTGTAGGATCGTGTGTGCCATAATCAGGTATAAAATTCCTTGCGCCCTTTCATTTCGACATGTCTGACACGTGTTTTTCCTGTTCGACTCAAATTCTATGCCACGAATCTCACACATTGTTATAGGCCAAAGGGTTAATGTATCGATAAAATTAATAATTTAGTGATTTTGAGAACAAGTTTGAAGAACACGACTCAAATTGGCAAGCTTGATAGATCTTTAGTGTCAATGGAGGCTTGTTCTACAGCTTTAGTGCCAAATAAGAATTGATCTAGAGCGTTAGTGTCAAATGAGAATTGATTTACAGCTTAAAGAGGTTACAGGTTTAAGACTAGTCAATCGTCCTATCACGGTAGAAAGTGTTAAAGGAAAAATTGCATTTCTCAAATTTTTTCGAATTCCCTGAGATCATCTCATCGTTGTAGTTTTCTATAATTCTCATAGTTCCCAGTGAAAACCCCTGTTATCTATAAGTATCGATGACAGTTAACCTAGAGGTGACTAAAAATGGAGACGATAGTGTCTCATAGCGAGGTCTTCGATCAGATCACCTCAAATCAATCCAACAAACGCGCCCCGTCGATTCTTTTCCCATTTCATCGCTCACTTGTCGCCAATTACCGCCGAACGCTCATTACCGATCCGTAGATTTCTCTTTCGCGATGCAATTTTCACAGTTCGACGTCGCCATTGGCATTCTTCGAGCATCATCGACCGTGGGCACGTACAATTCCCTTCCAGCGCTCCGTCGTTCTCCTCGTTTTCTTTCGTTCCGTTTCCCATCGTCATTGTTAAAGCGACACGTACTTTTACGCGGCATTCTTATCCCGACATCGTTTCTAAGCCCCTTTTCGCACACTTTCACCGCGCCGTGTCCATTATATTCTTAGGAATCGCTCGAACATGGAACGCGGCGCTGTTCGCCAGCCGTGGTATGCTCTCGATCGCCGTTCGATAGTTGTTATCGGGTCACGAGTCGGTCCTGCGATTTTCACAAACCGACGAATTATCTCGATGGCAAAACTTCTCAGTCCTTTTGTCTCGCGACATCCTATATTCCGTCCAATCGAAACATTCGCGGATCTAATAGTTTCCGTGCTCTATACACGTCAAATGTATTTCTGTACGAATGCGTCTATATCATGGGACTTGAAGATAGGACTATTTTTTAATACGCTTTTGTTTCTTCACTTTAACATTTTTTATTGTATGACACGCTGAAGGAATGGTACACGCAAGTGCGTTGGTATATTCATATTGAGATGTTCTGGACTGTCAATTTTGTTTCCTTTCTTTTTTTTTTTAATCCATAAGGAATTTTGTCACGGAGTATTATATACATATTCCTTTATTGGGTTGTCCAGAAAGTTTGTGTCAATGTTTAAGAAAAATTGAAAGGCACATTTGAGTTTTGATATATATTTATTCAAACCTGTACCACCTATTAAAAATCGACATGGACTTTCCAGACAACCCAATATATTTTGGGAACGTACATAATTTACTTTCAATGAAAATAAGAAAAAATTGTACATGGTACAAGTGATTTTGCGCTGACCCTTTAGGAAAGGGTATGCTCATGGTTGCCATTATTTCCGAAATCGAAAGATCAAGACACGGTTGCATTAATATCAGTAATCTAAAAGTATCTAATCGGTAAGCTACTTTGGCTTCGTGAAGCTTGGTAAGAGGCTTTATTATAAGC